AACCGCGGCGAACGCTGAGCCTCGCGGTGGCCAATGCGCCACCCCCTCGTGGCGAATCCGTCTTCCGTGAGAACTTGCCCAGGCGTGGTGCTCATGGCCTCCAGCATCATGGTGCAAAAGCTCGCATGTAATGACGAAGAGACTTCAGCGCAAGCATAAACTGTCAGAGGTCCACTGGGATTTCTTGAATCGGCGCTGGTCCTCCATCCTTGGCGAGTGGAGCGCGCCAGGGGCGACGGAGAAACGCCGCCAAGGGGGTCCAACGCAGATCCCAGAAATCAGTGCGGACCTTCGAAAGTTTTCGTTTCTGCAGATTCTCTTGTTCGAGCCAATGAGCTCGCTTTGCCTGGTCCACTTCGAACCCCGCTCTCTTGCTTCGAATCGCTGGCGCTTCCTCCTTGCTGCCATTCTTCCTCTTGTCATCGCTGCCGATGGGCTGGTACTTATGTCTCTGTGCCAGCGTGGCTTCCGCCAGCCCCTCCTGCGATTCGTGCGCTTCGCCTGAGTGCACAAGCAACTTGCTCGCCTTCCATCGCCCGAAACGCTTCAAGCGCTCTTAGGTATAGTGATGCACCACGACTGCTAACAAAGAAGGTGGGGCGATTAACCCATAGTTCCAGACTCTTGTTGGTATGTTTTGCATCTTGAGCATAAGCTCGTTTTTGTTTCCTCTCTCTTTTTTCTCTTTTCTTTAATAAAAAATCGAATCCCCTGGTGCAGCTCGTGATATTACATCTCCTAACCAATTCCTACTGCAATTCCTATTGCCACATGTCCTACTACGATTCCTACTGCAGATTTCAGCTCCCACGTAGCTCACTCTAGACCGTAAAACTCCGACTACAGCTTCTTCGACAAACCCTGGTATAGCCCAACCACAGTACGCACTGTTACAACTACCGCTCAGGTCCTATACCTTTTTTTACTCCAACACCTAATTCATATTGAACTGCACCTCCTTCTCGCCCGTCTTGTGTCATAGCGCATGGTAACTACAAGTTCTACCCATTCGTCGTTGTAATTGCACTCCGCTGCTGCTGACTACCTTGCTTTTGACTGGCTGAACCCGCTCCTCCTGACCCTCCGCTTCGGCCCCGTCTGGCACGTCAGACGTCTGGATGCGCGCCCGACGACGGCAACGGGGGAACGATTAAACAACTAGTTTTCTGGCCTGGGGCTGGTTTTGCTAGTCATCATCTGGGGCGCCGCCGCGTGAACACGACTCCCCATAGTTTCTTAAACCTCATCCTGCATTACGGCATGGTACATCGCCGTATGGCCTCCGATCCTCTCGGAATGGCTACCCCGTTGTGCGGTGAGTGGGCACCGGCCGCCACCGCTGCTAGGCCCCGCAGCTCGGTGACCTCCTTTCGCGTCACCAGCGCGCCGCCCCTGCGCCTGACGAGGGGGCGGCTCGTTTCTGACGTCCACCGCCACGGAGCCGCTGCATGCAAGTCCACCGCCGCCCGTACTCGGCATGGTGGTTATCACAGTCAAGTTGATTTCTGCATACCTAGAAATGATACAGGTACGTATGCCGTTCTTCTAGGGAAACCCAGAGGTGCCGACATCGCTACTCCACGGACATCTCCATGGATCAGAAGTTCGAGGACAATGCAATCGTGGCGACGAGAACCTTCCAGGACGAGTAGCGGTACCGGCACCTTTTCCTCCGCTGAGCTTTGCTCCCCTTGATCCATGAGATGGTTTCGTCGGCCGAGGTGAAGTTGGCGAGATGAGGGTCGGGAACTTCTGCTCAGCGTGTCGCGGCGACGGCCCCTGCGGCACGCTATGCCTTGCCAATGGATAGCGCGTCACTCCGCTTCGTGGGCTGGGAGGCTGGGAAAAGCTCCGCACGTGGACGCCTTCGGAGCGCCTAGGCCCAGGCGTGATGGGCCAGAATCAGTGGAGCGAGACGCCAACCAAAGTTCCCCACCCCATCTTTTTCCCGCCTGGGCGCCACATGGGGCCAGAAGCGACCGCCTCGTCGCCCAGGGGTTGCACTCGTCTCAAAGGCACTCGGGCACCCTCGGCGCGAAGAGAAACGATGCGGAGATAATCCCCCGCAACAGCCAGTGCCTCAGGCCCCCTCGCGTCGTGATCAAGCACCGACGCGAGGCTTTGGCAACCTTCGAACTTCGGGGCCCTCGCCAGGCCTCAGGACTGTCGGAAAACCACTCAGGATGAAACGCTGGTCTCGGGGAGTGGGTCGAGTCCTCTGGGGGTCGCCTCGCACGGTCGTCCAACCTCCCATTAGGTCGGGCATGTCCACCTACAAATGAAAAATCCGCTGGCCCCCTTGCGGGGCCACCAGGCTGTAGGGCGAAGGTTCGCAGTTTCCTGTACCAGTTGCAGCTTCCAGTTTCCACTGTTACAGTTCTGTTTCTTGCTGCTTACTGTTCCTTGTTGATGGACCGCGCGAGGTAGGGAGGCCCAAAACGGGCATTTTTACCACGCCCTGAGCGTGTGCTCTGAATTGCTGGGGTGGATAAAAATTGACACCCCTCACGCAGATCGGCGGGGTCAGGGTCCAAAATCACAGACGATTTGCTACATTTCTGACATGCGGTGGCACCCCTCACGCAGATCGGCGGGGTCAGGGTCCAAAAACACACGGGACCTGCTATTTTTTTGAAGTTGGCTGGCACCCCTCACGCAGATCGGCGGGGTCAGGGTCCAAAACATAAGGGATTTGCCATATTTCTGACATGCGGTGGCACCCCTCACGCAGATCGGCGGTGTCAGGATGCAAAAACACATACGATTTGCCACACTTCTGAAATTCGGTGGCACCCCTCACGCAGATCGGCGGGGTCAGGGTCCTAAAACATAAAGAATTTGATACATTTCTGAAATTCGGTGGCACCCCTCACGCAGAACCGTAGGGTCAGGGTGCAAAAACACATACGATTTGCCACACTTCTGAAATTCGGTGGCACCCCTCACGCAGATCGGCGGGGTCAGGGTCCAAAAACAAACAGGTCCCGACACTGCTTCACGGCGGCGCCCAGACCTCATGATTTAGATTTTGCATCTCCCATTATCCGAGACAGGGGGTCGGCGGCATGGGGCGAAGCCCTTATGGATAATAAGAAATACCCCAAAATAGTCAAACAAAAATCCCCAGACTATTTCCCCACATGTTTCGTGGGGCTCTGGTTTTCATCCCTGCCGCGTCGCACCCGCGACGCTCACTCACCTCCCCTCCTCCTCCTCCTTCTCCTGCTCACACAGCGCAGCACAGCTCAGCACAGCACATCTTAGCTCAGCACAACACATCTCAGCACAGCACAGCACAGCACAGCACAGCACCTCAGCACAGCACAGCTCAGCACGCTCAGCACAGCACAGCACAGCACGACGGTCGTCCAAGGCACAGCAGGCGTGGCGCTTTCTCGACACCACAGGGGGTGCGCAAGGGGGTGGTCCCTGAGGGCGGCCGCTATGCGTGACGGTCATCCAAGGCATAGCAGGCGTGGCGCTTTCTCGACACCACATGGGGTGCGCACGGGGTGGTCCCTGAGGGCTGCCGTTATGCGTGACGGTCGTCCAGGGCGCAGCAGGCGTGGCGTTTTCTCGACACCATAAAGGGGCGCATGCGGTGGTCCCTGAGCGCAGCCGCTATCCGTGCCGGTCGTCCAGGGCATAGCACGCGTGGCGTTTTCTCGACACCACAGGGGGTGCACACGGGGTGGTTCCTGAGCGCGGCCGCTATCCGTGACGGTCGTCCAGGGCATAGCAGGAGTCGCGTTCTCTCGACACCACAGGGGGTACGCACGGGGTGGTCCCTGAGCGCGGCCGCTATCCGTGCCGGTCGCCCAGGGCATAGCAGGAGTGGCACTTTCTGGACACCATAGGGGGTGCGCACCGGGGGTCCCTAAGCGCGGCCGCTATCCGTGCCGGTCGTCCAGGGCATAGCAGGAGTGGCACTTTCTGGACACCATAAGGGGTGCGCACCGGGGGTCCCTAAGCGCGGCCGCTATCCGTGCCGGTCGTCTAGGGCATAGCAGGAGTGGCACTTTCCCGACACCATGGGGGGTGCGCAGGGGGTGGCCCCTTGAGCGCAGTCGCTATCCGTGCCGGTCGTCCAGGGCATAGCAGGATTGGCACTTTCCCGACACCATGGGGTGTGCGCAGGGGGTGGCCCCTTGAGCGCGGCCGCTGTCCGTGCTGGTCGTCCAGGGCGCAACAGGCGTGGCAATTTCTCGACACCGTAGGGGGGGGCGCAGCGAATGGCCACCAACATCATTCTCACATGATTCACTTCAGCTATCATCACTCCAGCCATCATTTAAGTATGTGGGGTCCCTCGGTAGCGTAATTTTTTGACAATTTTTGATATTCCTCCTGTAGAGGGACAGGCCCGACTTAAACCTCCCCGCGCCCAGCCTGTTGCGGAGCCGGCCAGGCCTGTCCACCGCAGCTGCTACTGGGCCAGGGTCTCGCTCCAGCGCGCGAGGCTCCCGACGGCGCCGGCCCGGCCCTCCCGGCGGTCTCCGAGCGGCAAGGGCCCGACAGGCGTGACGCGGCGGTATGCCGGGTGGGCGCGGGGCTGAGACCCCCGTGGTGGCAGGGGCGGGCTTCGCTAGCCGCTGCTGCGCTGTGGTGAGGGTCCCCACCTCAATGGGCCCCGCCAGGGTGGAGCTGGCCCAGCGACTCCGACGGGTGTGGCCTGCACCCTGCGCCTGGGAGGGCGGGCGAGGACCTTGACAGAGATCTCTGCCGCTTCCCGACGAGGGCCCCCAGCCGCAGTGTGCCTTGCAAACGTTAATGTCCTGTGGATGAGACGAGGCCTGGGAACCAAATGCGACTCGAGGACAAGGCAGAGAAGGGAGGAGGAAGAGGAGGGGAGGAGAAGAGAGAAAAGACCGAGGAGGAGGAGGAGAAAGAAACAGGGGGCAGCAGCGGCAACAGAAGCGACACCAGAAGTGGCAGCAGAAAGACCAGGACGACCAGGAGATCACGGACGAGGGCGAGGAAGACGGCCACCGGTGCGCTTTTTATATGTATTCGCCGCCGTGCGTCTGTGCTGGCTGGCCAGCCGCCGCGGCACGGAACATCTCAGGGGGCGGGAAGGACGGCCGTGAAGGACCGGCAACAGTCTGGCCCTTGCCCTTGTCGACGGCAGCAAACTGGTCCTTGCCACTGCCGCCAGAAGCATGTTGGTCCTTGCCCTTGCCTTTCGCGCTGGCCTGGGGCACCTCGCAGGGCGAATGTGAAGTAACAAGCAGCTGCATGCATAAACATAAACTTTCGAAGGTCCGCGCGGATTTCTTGGATCTGACCTGTGCCCTCCTCTCTGGCGCGCGGAGCGCGCCGGTGGTAATGCCAGAGACGCCACCAGGGTAGAGGCCTCCTAGATGGGGTCCGAGTAGATGGGGTCGAAGGATCGCGCCGCATCGCCAGTGCATCTCCAGTGCATCGCCAGCGCATCGCCGAGGCATCGGCGATGCATCGGCGACGTCGGCGTAGGGAAACACGGGCTCCGCATCGAGCCGCATCTTCGATGCATCGGCGAAGCGGCACGATCCTCCGACCCCATCTACTCCGACACGTTGCCGTGGGACTCTCTCGGGCCACTCTCTTGGACAAATGTGACAGGAAGCCCTCCAGATTTGAAGAATGTAGTTTGAGTTTGGCTTCGCCTCTTCCCCTATCATCCTCCTCATCATCATCCCCTCCCCCGCATCCTCATCCTCATCCTCATCATCCTTCTCCCTCCTCCTCCTCTCTCCTCTCTCCTCTCTCCTCCTCCTCCTCCTCCTCCTCCTCCTCCTCCTCCTCCTCCTCGTTATCATCATCATCATCATCATCATCATCATCATCATCATCATCATCATCATCATCATCATCAGCATCATCATCATCATCATCAGCAGCATCATCATCGTCAGCATCATCATCACCAGCATCATCATCATCACCATCATCATCAGCAGCATTCCTCCCTCGTGTGGCGGGTGGCCCCCATTCGTCAGCATCATCCTCTCCGTCCGCCTGTTCATTCTCCCATCCTTCTCATCGTGCGTGTCCCTTCCTCCTCCACTTCGTCTTCCTCGTCATCCTGCTTCTCCTCTTCTTTTCAGTGCCGCTCTTCTCGGAGATTGCGCATATATTGCTTGTGGGGACGGCTTGCTGACGGTTTCCATTTGTGGAGAGCATGCCCTTGAATTCCTTGTGGGAACGGTGGAAGCCAACCAAACCCAAGGAACAACTGAACAACACCAAAAACACCAACGGCGGAAAGCAGAAACGTGCTAAAATCCTAGGGGGAAAAAACAGACTGAGCAAACCACAACGATTGCACTACTTACTCCGCCGCTCCACTGCCCTACTGCCCCCTCTCTTCCCGTTCCATCCTAATTTTCACCACCCCACCCCGCCTGTCACCCCCCTCTCCCTCCTCAGCCTCCATGCCCTGCCCATGGAGGGGAACAGGGAGAGAAGGGAGAGGGGGGGAGGGAGGGGGAGCAGGAGGAGGAGGGGGGAGGGGATGAGGAAGCAGGAGGTAGGAGGGAACGCGAGGAGGAGCAGGAGGAGGAGGAGGAGGAGGAGAAGGAGGAGGAAACGGCGAAACATGAGGGGAAGCACGGTCAGGAAGAGGAGGAGGAGGAGGAGGAGGAGGAGGAGGAGGGAGGAACAGCAGCAGCAGCAGAAGCAGGACGACAAGGAGAAAGGAAGAGGCAAACGACTACGGAAGAGGAGGAGAAATGGAGGAGGAGGAGGAGGACTGAGGAGTGAGGAGCGATGAGGAAGAGCTTGGTCCTTACTCCCCCTCCTCCTCAGGAGCTCATGTCTCACTTCGCCTCCTCCTCCTCCTTCTCCTCCCCTCCTTCCCCTCCTCCTCCTCCTCCTCCTCGTCGTCCTCCTCCTCCTCCTCCTCCTCCTCCGTCTCCTCCCCCCTCCTCCTGACCGTGCTTCCCATCATGATTCGCCCTGTCCTCCTCCTCCTCCTCCTCCTCCTCCTCGCCTTCCCTTCTCCCTCCTGTTCCCTCATCCACACTTACATAATCTGACTGCTACTTCCCCTCTCCCCCCTGATGAGTTCGGAAGATATCTGCCCCCCTCCGCGTAGTTTCTCTACACACCTGATTCCAAGGACTTGGGTTGTCGCTTGGGTTGTTCAACATGTTGCTCCCGCTGAAGCGCTGGCCTCATGTTCGGGCTTCCGCTCATTCCGAATCGTGCTCCCGCTGCAACGTTGGCCTCATTCCCGCGCTTCGCTCCAAATCGTGCTCCCGCTGCAGCGCTGGCCTTCCTTCCAAATAGGCCCCAAGATCTAGAAAATGCCCCTCCCCTCCCGAGAAAACCATCGGACGTGATTCCACCTTCGGTGTCGATTCGTTGGTTTGGGGGCCGCAGAGAAGGCGATAGTGAAACCAGAGCCAGCGGGTGCTCTCCATCAGCCCCGTCTTGTGTGGAGCTTTTCGGGGAGCCCAAGGAGCTAGACATGGAGCCACGACTCCAGACGGACCCAGACCTCTAGAAGACGATCCACTTCCCCTCCAAAGAACATGGCGCCATGTCATGACGTGTTGTGCAGTGCTGTGTTCTGCGCCGCTGTGCGATGCCATACTTCGCGTTGCAATGCTTTGTGATGCAATGCTTTACCGTGCAATCCCACGCCATGCTATGACATGCTATGCTCTGCCGTGTTTTTCTACGCAATGCCATGCCATGCTCTACCATGTATCGCGCACCCTCTTGCGATCATTGCCCTGCTCGACATCCGACTGTGCGCTCAGAGAGGATATCTACGCCATGGTAAGGGATGGGAGGGAGGGGTAGGACGTCAGATATGAAGCGAGCGCACCCAGCTTGCCCCCCCCTCCTACCCCTCCCCCCCTCTCCCTGCTCCCCTCCACGGGGCAAGGCAGGGAGGAGAAGGATGAGGAGGAGGCGGGAAGGGGGGAGAAGGAGTGAAAGGCGGGGATGGGGCGGTGGGAATGAGGATAGAACGGGGAGAAAGGGGGCAGTAGGGCAGTGGACGAGTGGAAGAAATAGCGACATACTTGTGTGGTGGCTTACTTATATTGTTCTTGGGCTTTTCAAGATGTTCCGCAATCCGCTGGTTATTTCTTTGCATACTATCATACGTATTCCTTCGTTGGCTGTGGTATCTGGCGTGTACACTGGAAATACACTTGTAAACTCTCCACAAGAAGAATATGTTTGCACACCCTCCGCATAATGAGTGCCTGCGTAACCGCCTAGAAGAGAAGCATGGGAAAAAGGAGGAGCCGGATGAGGAGGAAACCGACGAGGAGGAGGAGGAGGAGGAAGGGAAAGAGCACGATGAGGAGAGAGGAAGGCGGAGGCGAAGTGAAATTGGAACCACCTTTCCCAAATCTGGGAGCGGGGCTTCCTTTGAAATTTACCCGAGAGACTGGTCCACGGGAGTCCAAAGCCATGTCGTTTCTTTCCTTTCGAAAGGGGCCGCGGCAGGCAAGGCGGAGCCGACTTTCGCACACACGGTTCCACGCATGGAGATCCGCACCTAGAGTGCGGAATTCTCGGCAGCCATGGCAGGTGCCGATGGCCTCGCGCCACGCTCGGCTTCTGAAAGAATCCTGTGCTGCTCGCTCCTCAGAACCAAGCGGTCAGAAACTTGGCGTGTCGCGGCGGCGGCCCCGGCGACACGCTATGCCTGGCGAGATGATCGCGTGCCGCTCATCTCATCGGGGCGGGGCTCGGAGAAGCTCGGGACGTCCACGCTTGGGGACTGAGACGTGGTTCGCGCGTCGCGCCAGAGAGTGGTGGGCCAGAACCAGCAGCGCGACACGCTGAACCAAAATTTCCAACCGTAGTCAGCCATGCCCAGGCTGCAGTGCCTCTTCCGGCTTTTCGCCCCCCTCCACCCCCCCGACACTGCTTAACCCCGAACGCGCATCCAATAAATGCCTACACTCAACGGCTGCCACCCCTGTCTCTCTCTCTCTCTCTCTTGTACTTCCCCCCGTGCTGCTGCACACAGTGTCGCGCTGCGCGCAGATGCCCCCGACCCCCTCCTCCCCAGCAGAGTCTGGCTGGGGGGGATGATGAAATGAAGGGGCCCAGGGACACGCAAACAAATACACACAACTCCCAGGATTCCCCATCTTTTCTCATATGTTCTCGATTCTCGTCTTCCCCCCCATTTCCCATACGTTCCCATGTTTTCCTGGGAATCGACGGTTCTGTGTGCCTGTATGTTTCCCCCCTTCCTAATGGAAGTGGGCCGCCTGCGCCCGCCAGATGATTCGGGGGGCGGGGGCGCGGGCGCCGCGGAGGGAGACCGACCAGGAGCGGGGGGACGGCACGAGGGGGATCAAGAGGAAGACAAGAGAGGCGGAGGGGCGGAGGAGGGAGAGGCCAGAGCAGCCAGCACGACGGAGCCTCCTCCCTCCCTCTCCCTCCTCCTCCTCCTCCTCCTCCTCCCCCTCCTCCTGACCTCCTCCTCCTCCCCCTCCCCCCCATCCTCTTCCTCCTCCTCCTCCTTCTCCTCCCCCCTCTTCCTGACCACCTCCTCCTCCTCATCCACCCCCTCCCACCTCTGCTTCCCATTGCCCCGTCCAATGTTCTTGTCCCCCCGGAGCCTGCCAGCCTCCGCCCCACCAGCTGCCGTCGCCCCAGCCTCCAGCGCTCGCGCCGGGCCAGGCCCAGTCCTGCCAGCCGACGACGTGTTCGCCAGAACCGAAATTCTGCCCAGGTCCAGCCCGGAAAACACAGGCTTCTCTAAGGTATCGTGGTTGTCACCATCACCACCATCATTGTCGCCATCATCATAATTTGTTTATGGGATGCTGTTGGCGAGTCGCGTCTCCCCACCAACCCATCCAGAAACGATCACCAGAAGAGGTGCCGTTCGTCCACCGCAAAACTGCCGCAGCGTGAGACGGAGCTCAGAACGATGGCCGTCGACACGCCGAATACACGAGAATGAATGCAAAGTACTCGCCATCAAACCGTGAAGCGAAGAGGCAGGGAAGACCCTAACAGAACGTGACAGTCAGCACCTGCTTCAGAGGGGGGAGATGGGAGCGGACACCCAGATGAAGCCTCCAGCTGCACACCACATCTACAGGGAGAGGCGGGCGGAGGGGGAGCCAACGGGGAGGAAGGGGGAACGGCAGCGGGCAGAAACAGCCACGCGAAAGTTCCCCCAACAAAAACTTGCGCGTGCGTAAACCAGCCACCCTGAGCACTGCTGGAGGCGATGACCGTGCAAATGCCCCTCGCGAGTCGTAAGCGAACTGGGACCGCATGCTCCACGCTGCTGCGCAGAACAATCCAAACCGAATGAGCGAACACGTAGTGCCGCTGTAAGTTCCTGGCAAAAGGGTGTGTTTCACAGCGGGGTCGCCACTAAAAAATGGAACACTTCATCCTGTGGCGCATGGCGCGTGGCAACCACGTGCTGATGATGTACGACGTGCGTATCCCGCACCAACCATTGCACGAACTATCACGTACATGCTTGAGACCCCCTTATGCAAAACCCGAACCCGACGCTGTTGCCAGTGCGTCGCACGGGCGCGGGCGGGGCGCGGGGGCAGGAGGAGCCGAGCGACGGCTGAAAGAGACCATTTTGCAACAAGAGCGACCACACACCAGACAGAGCCAAGCCACATCCCCCTTCCGACCCCTGTACGACGAAGCCAGGGCGGGGACAACCTCGGGCGACGGTAAATCCAGAATCTCCGAGAGCCGGACACTCTGGAGGATGTTTCGGGGGCCGCGGCCTTTTCACAGCGTTCCAGAACGCCCTGGAACGGATTTAATCCTCGTCGTAACCCCATCAGATCGCTCCACCCACTGGCTTCAACATTGGCGGGTATCGATGCTCGGCCCAAGCCCTTTCGGGCCTCGCTTCTCCGCGAACGCTTGTTCAACATTGAGGTTGGGGGCGGACGGGGGTCACGCGAGACGGTGCCCCAACCCTACGCACGTTGCGAAGTTTTTTTTTTCAACGGGATGCGGCAACGACTGCGCATCGACAGCGTTGCACCGCATGGGGGCCAAGGCGCGAGAACCTCCGGGAGCGAACCACCCATGACGGCCCCAAAGCGGCGGGATGGACGCCGCCCCCAGCACGGGGGGGCGAGCGCCAGCCTACGCCTTCGGAGACCTTTCACTCAACGCAAAAATGCGATCGACAGAAGCGTGAAAGGATGACGGTCAAGGGGGGGCACCCCTGCGAGCGGAAAACCGATTCGGGTGAGCTGGCGCGCAGGCGCTTCCTGGCGCGCCCGCTGCTGAAGCCACGCAAAACTGTGATCGACACAAGAATGGAATGTCTTATTTTTTACAGAGCACCGCTGACGAACAGGCTCCAAGGGCAATATGAATGCCTGGGGCTGATGGCCAGGGCAGAAAATGTACATATCGGGCCAGCCAGACAACCTCTTGCACGGCGGCAGACCTCTTCAAAGCCGCTGCAAGACAACGAGGCGCACCCTGGTGAGCGCATGCGAACCGTGCTCATCAACAGGACACCTGAGCTTTAACGTGTCAAGACGAGACTTGGCCCAGGCCCCACACTCCGAACCAAAATATAGGAATGCCTTCATCCAGAGAGCGTGAGAGCTGTGCACCTGGATCCCCGCGACCCAGAACTCAACTCTAGACGGGAGAGGGTCCAAACCGAGGGAGCGCCACAGGGGATCATTGCGCCCTGGAAGCGACCCAACGGGCTGCACCCACGTGTGATGGGCAACATGTTGCTCCTTCCCCCCTCCCCCCCGCTCACGCGCCGCGCCCGCGCCGACGCCCCCCCCCCCCCCCCCCCCCCCCCACTTTCCCCAAGAGAAGCGGGGCGAACGCTGCGGAGCCTGGCGCGAAGAGAGGGATCGGCAGCCTGCGCCTTCGCAGGGCGGGACTGGCATCTGCACGTGAAGTCATCGTAAGTCCACCTGCGAGAGGATGAGCAGATGGCCTCGGCAATCCACCTGCGACGCCTGAGGGCAGAATCAAATGGCTGCTTCTGTCGGCGCCTGTCAGCTTCAGCACGCAAGGTACCACATGCAAGAAACAGAAAGGCATGTCTCTTTCAAACCTGGACACGCCTGCAGGACCGAAGAGTCATGATCCCGAACGATGTCTGCTGACACCTGAACCTCTGCCGCTCGATCGTCGGCCACTTGGTCAGCTAATTGATTCAGGGCGGCGGCGCCCTTATGGATGTGAGACGGAACACGAGAAAGGAAAGAAGAGGCGGAGCGAGACTGAAGCAGCTCCCATAAATCCCACCAGAGATCACTGTTAGCCAACTTGGACGCGTGAGCCCTACCGCCTGCACACGCCTTGAGAATAGTAACATGAACGGGCAGAACGCGCAGATCTTGGGTCGGGTCAACGCGACGAAGCACTCAGTAATCGCAACAAGTTCTGCACGCGGGACAGTTTTTCTAGCAGAATCTACTGCGACCGTGACTGCGCAAACCCGAGCGAAAGCATCCTCAGGGACCATGCGCACAAAGGAAAAGCAACTCCCCTTAAAACTGGAGACTTGGCACGCTGGCCCCCCGACCAGTCAGCGCCGCACAAACCCGCGGGGAAAGGGCCAGGGACGAGGCGCCCAGGAGAGCGCCGGCAGCGGAGCAACCGAGAATCTGGGGTCGCGGGCAGACGGAACCAAGAGGTGGGGATGAGCCCACGCATCCGAAAACAAGGGAAGAGATTAGCCTCCCGGATAGCAGTACATCTGAAATGCTGGGAGTCGGTGCGCAGTTGACTCGGGATCGCGCTTGCGCCTCCTGCTCCGGGGGTCGGGGGCGAGCTCTGCTTAAAAACGGCGCCCTCCGGTCCTGTAGCCACTCGCAGCTACTAACCGCGCCGCGGGGGCAACATCTCGACGGCCTTCTTTTTCAAGAGAAGCAAGCAGCTCCCAAACTTGGACAAGCGAAACCGACCCACCGATGCCTTTGCCGTCGAGATGTTCGGATGCCTGCCGTCACTGGCGCTCGTCGATCGAATCGTCGAAGGCATCCAAAAGGGGTTTCAAGGGTCCTCGGCCCTCGGCCTGCATAGCCCAAAGATCACCAGAAGGAGAAACGAGCTCGAAGGGAGAGGGGCAAGACCAACCGACGGCGGGGACCGAGGCCTGGAAAGCGCCCATCGGCCCACGGACCCAGTCCCAGCCCCGACGAATCTTGCCGAGCGAGGCTTGCCAGTGACGGTTCAGGCGGGCCCGCAAGGCTGAATTACCTGCGATTCTAGAAAACCAAGCCTTGACAACCCTGCGATCGTACATCTGAAATGGGTCATGCCCTAGACCAACAGTAAACCGAATGGAAGTAGTGGCGCGAACTCCTCTCTGTGGCGTCTTACTGGCGGCTCTAGCCATGCTGCGAAGATCCTGCAACCTGCAACATCGAAGGCGCGACCCCCTGTATCTCTGGGGCCCACGTAGCCTTGGCGAACGCGTTAGGATAGGAAGGCTTGCGGCGCTGCGATTCTTCTTCGAAAACGGGAGAATCTTGTCAGTAGTATGCCTGCCCTTCCTGAATCTGGTCTTACTCACTGCCGCAGTGCGCCGAGCTCAGGGCGCTGCGTCGCGTCGTAGGTTCCTGGCCGCCAGAGACACCTGAAACGAGCAATGGCAATCGGAGGCAAGCCCTGAGAGCGTAGACCGCAGCTCGGGCGAGGACGCAAGGAGGTGCGATTTGTCAACGGCTAGTTGGCACCGCCGCCGCTTGAGGCTGACAGGCAGCGCCCTGGGAGGCACAGGAAACGTGGCAACGATGCTGGTGCGAGTATCGAAAAGTTGGGCAGAAATGTCGTCCACCCACTCTCGTAGGCGCAGACCAGAGACTGACAGCTCCCTTGATAGACAAACGGCGAACTCCCAGGTGCACACCCACAGCTAAAACCAGAAGCCTTAACGGGGACTGGAGAGCAGCAGCAGCAGCAGCAGCAGCAGCAACAAAACCCTCGAGACAGATCTGGCCATCGTATTTTCCCATGTCAAGCAGGAGGCCGCCGACCTGACAGCCGGAAAGCAGCGCTAATTCGGTCTCGGACTCGTGGGTCCATCCAGCCGCCTCGGCTGAGCCTCCTACTGTAGCGCCCCACGGACCGCGTGCCCGTCTGTCCCAACTGGTGATGTAGGGCTTGCGAATGCGAAGCCAGAGAGCATAGACCAGACCGAGCAATGCGATCGGTCTCTTGCCGCCGTCGGGCTTCGGCAACAAGGCAATTAAGGAACATGGCTGCTGCAACTGCAACGTGCGCTGCTCTTCGATCGGGTGCAGCATCTCGATCAGGTGGGCTTTGGCCTCTGGGCTGGCCTGTTTGATTAGACGAGGCTCGAGATGGTCAATGCCTTGGCCTCCCCTGCCAGGAGTAATGGCAAGCGCAGTATCCAACATTGCTAACGCGATACGAGGCAGGCGCGGGGTGGCACGAGCGTCAGCGTGGAGGGCTGAAGGCGTAGCTCGAGCACAGCCATAGCTATGCTGCTGCCAGATGCTGGCCCAAGCCGCGGCCTCGGATTCAAAAACCTGCGCGACAGTCGAGCATGGCCCATCATCGCTGATATTTTTCGGGTGAGAGGGTCGACAGGAGGCCTCAGGAGACGGCGGGCGGTACCAGCTGAGCTGTATAGCGCTTCCTGGAGCCAGGTCTGCCATGCGACCGCGTGAGCCTTGAGAGCAAGGCGGCGCGA